AGGAGAATTCTGGTCTGAATCTGGGGTTTAGAGGGAAGCAATACTGATTGGTAAGTTGTGTAGTATTAGAAATTCCAAAACATAAGTATGTCTGCTACAAATTGGGCAACATGCATTTGTGATTTATATTTATACAATGAGTGTTTGTAGACCTCAGTATCACATATTGAACCCTCTGTCCTATCAGACAAAAGAACAGAAAAGTGGATCTTAATAATTTACTTTAAAACAAGGCAAATTGAAATGGTACAGTTCAAAGAGTGTACATACAGAGATCTATTACAGACTTACATGCTTTTCAGTACAATAGACTGATTTCTTAAAATAGATCTCATGTCAGCTTTCACAAGCTGTAAAAGCGACATGCTCTTCATTGCAACTGTATCTGAACTGAGCACAGTCACTTTTCTTTATCAACTCCCTTGCCACAAAAAGGCCGCTGCACATTAGATGTCATTTCAATATGCCACGCAATAGAAAATGGCACCCCTAAAGGTAAACTGGCTTTATCTGTAAACACATCAGTTGCTCACAGACCAGAAACAAATACAAACACACACACAAAAAAGAGTCCAGGCTTTACATAATATTTATATTTCCAAGAGGAGCTGTAAACCTTTTTGAGTTTCTCATGTCTTCCAAAAGTGAGAAAAATATTTTAATAAAATGTCAACCATACCTTCTAATAGATGGTTGTGTAATTAATCATTTCAAACGGTAAGTTAAGCTACTTACTGTACCTTGTTAAACCTCCAACTTTGAGTATTGCTAGCACAAATGACTATTTCTGAATGTTATTTTCTTCCCCTCTTCATCTCTGCTGTGACAAAGGTGTGTTTATGTCTATTGCAGTTAATCTGCACACTTCATAGAACCAATTTTTCATTTGGGGTTGCCTGTAGCAAAGATCTGCTGACTCAGACTCAACTGCTGAATTCTGAGCCACTTCAGATAAACAAATCTGGTACAATGCAGGGAGGGTCTGGTGTGGGGGGCGGAGCCCCGGATTAAGGGAGACGCGTTGCCGTGGAAACCACACCTGACGTGATAAATGAATGAACGGCAGGTGTAGAAGTGGTTTAAAACTAGCCTGAATACTTGTTCTAGGGGGGGGGATTGTGGTCGTGATTTCGCTGTAGTGGTGAGAGAGGACAAATGTGGAGGTTCTGCTATGACAGAGCCGGGCTGAATCATGACAGTAGCGGGTGTGAGACGCTACTAGTCGGGGCGATGTTAGAAGAGCGTATTGCAGTGCATGAGTGAGCAAAGCCTTGACAAGGTGTTGTAGAAACCCCGTGAAGGGGTGGAGAAGAACGGCAATTCCGGAGGGGATTGTGAGAAGAATACCCTGCGAGAAAAAGTGTGAGAACGTCAGTCTGGGAGGAGACTGACGGAAGAAACGGAGCTTTATGAGATCATCATAAGATTTAAAGGGACAGCAGCATACTAGGGTGTGAGACCAGGGCTGTCGTGTCCGCTGTGTGGTAGAGGGACCCTTCCACTGACAATACATGGTACTGGGGAAGTGAGTGAGGTCTATCTAAAGTAGCCACACCACATGGAGGTGTGCTTGCAGCTGTGAGTTCACAACCTAAAGGTGTGTGAGAGTGTGGCGCCAGAAAGGTTGTGTGTGTTAGAGAGGGACAGTGTGTTGGGTCTCGGCACGGTGTGTAGTGCGGAAGAGACTCGGTGATGTAGGTAGTATTTGTGTAACCCAACCCGGTGGCGTCGGAATAGGACGTCGGGGCTGGAGGTGGACCTGGGAGTCCGAGGCACTGGTTGTGTGTGAAAGACTGGCCTGATGGAGTAAGAGTAGGAGGCTCTGTGTTGGTGTTTGGGCACAGGAGGTTGTTCCTAGCAGTGAGGACAACAGGATGAACTTGGTGAACTTGAGACTCTGAAGGCAAAGGGCCTGGAAGTAATGGAATATGGAGTTATGTATCCTGTTACCCCAATGAAGGGGTCAGTGTGATCACCACTCTTGGAGGAGAGTGTGTGTAAGATAAAGAAAAGGAACCCAAAAGAGCTTATAAAGGGGTGTGATGGGAGAATGAGAGCCTGACCATGCCCAATGTGGTGTCAACTACCCCATGGCACCACACAATATACTGTACTTGCATTTTATTGTCCTTTTTGCTGTAATGTTACTTTTGCAGTGGCAATAGGAAAAATGTTACACTATGTAACTTTCTCTTGGAAGTTGAAAGATTTTAAATTTAATTAATTCTGACTTCTTACATTAATTATTCAGTTTTCCACTTTTTTTTATAATTTGAAATGTAAAGGGTGCCAAGCTGCATCAAGTTATGATACACTAGCATGCATAAGCATGGAAATTATTAAATTTATTTAGTTTAGAATGTTAGTGTCAATCATATTTAGAAGAGATGATCTTTTAAGCTGAGAGCTAAAGAAAACTATTAATGTTTAATTATCCTTTCAAATCTTCCTTATTTTATTCATTACAAACACTGAACTAGGTCTACAACTTGGATTCTGAACATCATACTAAAGACTGATAAGCTTCAAAATTAGGTTGTGCACAAGGAGGTTCACACTGGATGTGTGGATGATTATGGAAATGTGAATAATTAGCTCTTGGCTATTTCAAAGCCGAGTTTAATTTTGCTTCTATTAAATAAAATCTAACAGAGCAGCTCTTCTTAGGGCTCATCAACATAATATACAGCTCCATGTGAATGTATTCAGACCCATTGTACTGTGTCAGATCTACAAAATGAGGTGGAATGATTTCAGTGAAAACCAAGCAATATATAGTATATCTTCGAAGGAATAGTTTTCATGGGTATGGTGAGTTTTATTAAAAGCAACAACTTGCCCTAGTAAAGAAATTACCTGAGCATTCACATACTTCATAAAGACTTTCTTGTTCTTAATACCAGCATAACCCTGAGAAGCATTCTTTGTATCAGAAACATATACTTTTGTATGTTAAGGATGGATAAATTCAGTCCTGCAGGTTTTTCCAGGTTCTTGACCGTTACCTACTGAGACCTAAATAAAACAAATAATTTGTCCAATTTATGTCATATAATTAGTCCAATGATGTAAGAGTTACAGAACACCAGCAAAAAACATGACAAAATCACAATGTTATAAAGCTATTCCATTTAGAGCAATTAAAGACAAACAAAACTGTACCTGTCACTCCTACATCTTCAATAAACGTTGACCTTAAGGTCACATTCATGTGATGGACATGGCTGTAAATCTCAAGGGTGGTGAGATTGTGGAACAAGCTGCCATTTTGTTGAAGTCCTTAGCTTGACTTCTTTCAAGAAAAAGGATAAAAAAGATCTTTGGAACAACTACAGTAGTTAATAGCTAACTAGTTAATAACTAATAGCTCGATAAGCCCCCCTCACCATTTAATTGTTCTTATGATTTTAAGAATATTGGGATGGTTCTTGTTGTTTGCATGTCACCTTGGTACAGAGCGAAAAATAAACAGCACCAGCCCTGAAAGTTGGTATCTTTATTCTTCTTTTGTTTTCCAGCACTGATAACAGATGTTTGGAAATCTGACTTTAGAAAGGTCTAGCCAATTTAAAATCACCTCTAGGCATTCTCCCTTGTATGGCAACACTAACCCACTAGGGATACACCCCCCTCAAAAAAAAAAAAACTTGGATGAAAACCACCACCTTTGTTTTGCAAGCTTCTCCCTCCTGCAGACTGCGTTACTCCCACAGCTTTCATCCTCAGATCGTTGGCAGATCTTGATTGTTTTCCCTCGTTGGGCAGAAGCTAGAGGCTTTTTTTCCCTTACGTTCTAACAATTAAGCAAATCTCATGGCAGCGTTAGGGAACATGGAGGGCAGCCGAGGAGCAAGGAATGTAGGCAACTTGTAGTGAGTGCAAGTGTATGGAGGTTTAAAGCCAAGCATGGAGTTGTGTTTTGTTTCCCATAAACAGACAAAACGTCTCCATTATAAATCTGAAATCTGCCTGGACTTTTGTTTACTTTTGTGCTTCAGACTAATTTCAACAGGTGCAGTTCTCAGGAGGTGTAGTAAAGTTACCGTTTCTGCTGTGCTTTTGTCTAAGGGCCTGATTTTCCAGTGTTGGAGAGGTGCCTACTTATGATTACAGGACACAAAGTTAAGTTCAAAGTTCAGAATATCTGTCAAGACTCGCAGGTTTATTTTTTCTTTGTTAAATGAAACTTTTAGCATGTGTATATTTCAATACAGATGTTTGATTTGCTAAGGTGCATAAATGAGTAGGTGTTCTCGCATTGTTACCACCTTTTGAAAATTCAGTTGCTTTTTTTATGGAGGCGAAAATTAAATTAAAAAAATGCTAACATTTCAGCAGTTTTAGGCTGAAGGTGTCCAAAGTGATCACTTTTTATGTAATAATAATAGTCGCTTTATAAGCCCAATACAATTTCTTGCATTAGGCATTCATCTTTTCACATACCCCAGCTTGCTCTCCATGAGACATAGACAGAGAGAGAAGCTTGGGGTCAGCCATTGTACAGTGCCCCTGGAGCAGTTGGGGTTAAGGGCCTTGCTCAGGGGCCTAACAAAGTAGGATTCTCCTGCTGGCTGCGGGATCTGAACCAGCAACCTTCCAGTCACAAGGACAGATCCTTAGCCACAAAGCCACCGCTCTGTCCATTGGGTTTGGTACAAAATTTAGAGAAACAAAGAATGTTTTCAATATTTAAACTCCAAAATATTATAGTAATGACTGGTGTCCTGTCCAGGGTGCATCCCACTTTACAGCTGTTGTCTGCCTGGATAGGCCCTGGCTTCCCCATGACTCTGAATTGGATAGTGTTTTTTTTGTGTGGACATGTGTGGCAGATTACACCTACTTAGACAAGACACTATTACAATACTCCATACATCTATTTTTTAACCACTTTATCCAATTCAGAGTCATGGGGAAGCCAGGGCCAGTGGGATGCACCATGGACAGGACACCAGTCATTAATATAATATTTTGGAGTTTAAATATTGAAAACATTCTTTGTTTCTCTAAATTTAGTACCAAACCCCCTGCTTGAACCCCAGGGTTTAAGGGCTAAGGCCCTCAAGAAGAAATAAGGAACTTGAAAATAAAATTGTGATAATTTACTGCAGAAAAAGAATAGGTAGCAAGTACTGTATACTGTAGCAGCGGGTCTCATAAAACAGTATAGTAACCAGAACCTACCACTAGAGGCCGCCTGTGTAGGTGGTTGTCTGTGTAGTTGAGGAGGAGAGAGAAAAATTATTTGGTTTGTTGTATTGTTCTGTACATCAAAAACATAAAGCCAGAAAAGCTCAAGGACTTTCATTTCTGTCTTTTATTTTCAAGTTTTACATGTAAAGGTCCCCTGAGCCTTGCTACCCAAACTGAGGATTTTCAGCACGAGGAACAAAAGCAAAGAAAAATGATGTAGGGGTACCAAAACTATTTACAGGTGAAATAAAAAGGGAAAAAGTTACATTAAATAAACCCAACTGAATCTAACATTCCAATGAGAAGGGGGTACACCTACACATTCTGCCTGCTCCTTAAGTCTGGACTTCTTTACGTGCATTCAACCAACACAGAAAAACATCTTGCCTTCTTAAAGATATACAACTAAATTGATCTCGGCTGAAAATAATAATTTATTTTCCTTTTAAAATAAGAATAAGGTTTAAAAAATATAAAAATAACAGCTGCCTAAATACAGGTCTCCTCGCTGGCTGTTTTTGTTGCCACTCAATTAAGAATAACAATTAGGAGTAACACTTAAGAGTAAAGCCTGCAAGTTGTCTCACTGGCCTGACTTGTCTATGGCTGTGTGTCTTGCATCCAAGTATTTATTTAACACATTGTTGAATGGAACAGTTTAGTTACAAAGTGGAAAGAATAAAAAAATGAATAACCATGGAATTATACCCCAATAGGACATTTTCATCCACGGTACAATCTCTTTAGATTCACTTAGACACACTAATCTGAGTTTTGTTTTGTTTAAAAAGGGAGGAATAACAACACTCAAGAATTAAGTGTACTGAAAAAAATGTTTGAGTATTTTAGTCAATGTATACTGTATTTGCCTTAATCAGCTTGTCTGAGGGTCGACCCCCTGGCCACAGGACAAGTAGGCCTAGGCCCCCTTGCAGTGACCAAGGGAGAGCTACAGGAGGTGGAGGGGTGGAAAGGATGGAAAAGACCAAGGAGAAGGAGAAACGACTCACGTATGGTATTTTTGGTCTAGTCTTTTTTTTAAGTTTAGGAAATTGTATTAGAAATGATTAGGAGATTAGAAATCTGAGACCAATTGAAATTGGCTACTGTCACCCATCCCAAATTTTTGTTGTAATCCCCATTTAGCTCTTTAAGTTTTGTTCTGTGACATTCGAGTACTATAAAAACTTGGCTCTATATTTAAGTTAGCCATGTATCTAGGGAGCTTGAGGGCTGGTGAGAAAGTAAGGAGCTGATTTCTCACTAAGACAGAAGCAGAGAGAAGTGTCAGAAGGGAGAGATGTCTATCTTCAGAGGAAGGTGTCTGTCTCATTTGTAAGCAAGCCTCTGAATTTATCCTGAAAATCCCCAACTCCATATACAGTACTGTACGTTTCAGTCAAAAATAAGCATTCCTACAGAAAAGACTTAATTTTAAAGTCTGTCAAATCCTTCTTCGTTTTCCTTTAAAGTGTCCATGATATATTTTACTGGTATGCTGACTCTAGGTCAGAACTTTAGAAAGGTTTTAGATGAGAGGAGGCCATTCCAGCATGTCTAGTAGCTCATTGATCCAAGGATCTCATCCAACTGTTTCTTGAAATTACCATCTGTAACTTGAGAAGTATTCCTGTTAAACGAATGTTATTAAAAGCGCTCTGAAAACCTTATTACACCATATTGTAAGCTCTGTGTGTGTCCACTACCGTTGTTACTTGTTCAAAGAGCTCAAACAAGTTGGAAAAATATTTTCTAAATCCATGTTGACAACCCCCAAGGATCTCATTTAATATACAGTAGTTGGTCTTCTAGGGTAGTTTAATGAAAATAAAAACACAAGAGAGGTTAAAAATAAATGGAGCTATCTGGCCCGTCAGGTACTTATTGTTTTCATAACCTTATAGAAGTAACAGAAGTCAGACTTTTCTGATTTGTAATGATTCAATTCTTATGATTAGGCACCACATTAGCAATTCCCTACTCACCATCTCTTGAGTGACTGCTGGAAAAGCTGCGTCAGTGGTTTCTGAATAACATCTGTTTCCTTGGTACAACTAGCATAATACCCTGGGGATTTATTCATCTTAAGAGTTTCTAGCACCCTAGATATTTCTATGCCAATAGTATAAAACGCAGAGGTTTGTTCTGCAGCCTGAGACAAGCTGTTGACTTCTTCTTGATAACATGTTACTGAACACCTGAGGGAAATATTCATGTAGTACTTCAGCCATTTCCTCTTCTAACTTTCTAGAAGTTTTCATTTTTTCCTGAAGACATTTTACTTCCCCCCTTACTGTTGCTGTTGTAGTAGTGAATGATCCTAGGTTTTATTTTGGCCTCCAATGCAATATTCCTTCCCCTCTTTCTCTTGGACTTTCTAAAATCCTTTTTTACTTGAGCTTACAATTCATTGTACACTATTTCCTTAAAAGGATCATCCATCCATTTCTAACCACTTCTTCCAATTCTGGGTATCAGGTGAACCGGAGCCTATCCTGTCAAGCAATGAGGACAATGAGCACACCCTGAACAGGATGCCAGTCCATCACAGGGCACATACAGACACAGACACTCACACCAGAGCCAATTTTGAATGTCCTTACACTGTGGAAGGAAAACAAAGCACCTGGAGGAAATACCAAGAGAAAATGGGTAAAACATACAAACTCCACGCAGATAGTACCCCAGCTCCGAAATTGAATCCAGATCCCCAGTGCTGTGTGGTGGTAGTGCTAACCACTGCACCACTGTGCTACTCTTAACTGGATCATGTTGTTTTTTTTAATCATTTCTATCTGTCTATAAACTCTTTAGAAAGTGGTTTATTTTCCCTAATATTTTTCCAAATTTATTTCTCACACTTTTTTCACTGCGTTTGTGTTACTCTTGGGATAAATCTGTTTTGTGCTTCAAGCAGAATCTTTTTAGATTGTTGCCAGCCATTGTCATAGTTGTTGTTTTTTTCCTTTCTCTTGTGACAACAGTGTTTTGAATTCTGTACCATATCTATCCACAGCTTTCATATACGTCCTCCTCAGGAGCCCTGGATACTATGTTCTGTTCAGATTATTTTAATCATGGTACAATTGATTAAAAATGTCCCATATAAGTGGATTCGGGAGGCAACTCATCTTTTGTGCTTTTATGTTTATTTTTTCCCTTCAGACATGCATCCCCTCAGATAAGGAGAACTCAGTTCTAAAACTATATGTGTTGCTGCCATCTCTGAAGAGAAGTTCAAAAGGCATTTGCAACTCTGTTTTTAAAAGAACCCTGTAGAGACACATACTACTTGCACCAGCGGGAACAGACAGATGACCAGTAAATAAACTTTAAAAGAAAACTTCTTCAAGAAAGTCCTCCATAAGATTTATTTTTTCATATTTGCTCACAGAGAAACAGTAACATAAAGAAATGTATGCGTAAAAGTGATCCCGTTCAGAGAGCTTTGAATTACCCTTAACCTCATCACATTTTAGGAATTATAACAGATTAGTGGTGAAGTAAAAGAAATGGAGCCACGGTTTCTGTAGTGTGGCATTTAAAATGTTTCATTATGAATTATGGATGCACTATGCAGGAAATAGATCTATATAAATACTATCTTCTCAAGAAAAATAGGGAATACCCTTAATAGCTGTTTGGTCAATTGCCAGAAGCAATTACAGATGCAAAAAGTCACAGCATCTGTTCCACTCTATGTTCACAGATGTCCATATACAGTTGGTGTGGACGCACTCAGTCGACAGCAGTTGTTGAAGCTCTATACAAGATGGGGATAGCAGAACAATAGCTGCTTGCAGACTGAATTGTGATTTATGTTCGTGTCTTAGGTTTTTTATGTATCAGCCACCGCCAGTACAATTTTCAGTCTGTGTGAATTGCCTTCACTTAATCAGCAGAGGCACACGCTAAAAAACATGCCTTTTGTTAGGACACAAACATCGGCTTTCTCTCCCAAAGCCGAGCAGAATGAAAACCTTGGACTGGCCTAACTTTGTCATTCTCAGGAAAAGTGAAAATACCATATGCTGGATGGTGAAAGGATGGGTCACTCGAATGTACACAACACCCTCTAATAATCTGGTAAGGCAGTGTATCTGTATATTACAGATACATTGTACATACTGTACAGACACACAAACATCCATATTAATGAAAATCTAGAATTGCATTTCAAAGCAAGCTAATTATATCTAATTAGGCCAAACGTATCTGAAAATCACACACTAAGAGGATGCAAATACATTTTCACTTGTAATTAAGAAGCTATAATTCGGATTCTTATGATAGTTTAGGAAGACAGTCTGCCAACTAATTATGGATAACACATTAAAGAGCTATGGTAATTAGGAATATCAGAAGGCAGGAAGGTGGCTAGTGGATGAAGGATACCACAGAAGCCAAGAAACTCAGCCATGCTAAGCTAAATCTCTATGGCACTATCTGTGAAGCCTTATGACATTTGTTTTGTGACCGATATAAACGAGTGGAAACCTGGGCTCTTTCCTCTAATGAGAAAAGAAGCCACTAATGAGGCTCTGAGGGTATGCTAATGAAGCAAACAATAATTAACTTAGATAATTAGGTTTATTATTAAGAATGATGTTATATGGAAAAAGAAAATCCCTCAGAAGTGAAACAATTCTAACAGATCGGAAGCTTGAGAAAAAGAGTTGGAATCTGCATTAAGAGAATTTCTGTTTGTCTTTTAAAAAAGTAATAATAAACAAAGAGCTGCTATTAAATCCTTCGTGATGACATTTCAGCAATATAAACACAGGTTCTATTGTACCACTAACATGTAATTACTTGACATTAAGCTAAAGCTAAAGCTAATGTTTGCCCATGCAGTTCACCTGCAATATTGTGTCATATTATAATACAAAGCTGTTGATTATAGACAGGGGTGGCCAGAAAAATAGAGTTTTTGACAAGAGATAAGATCACTTTATTGGCCATAATCAATTTCTTGTATTAGGAATTTGTCTTTTTGCATACCCCAACTTGCCCTCTATGAGACACACAGACAGGATGAGAAGCTTGGGGTCAGAGCTCAGGGTCAGCCATTTATACAGCACCCCTAGAGCAGTTGGTGTTAAGGGCCTTGCTCAGGGGCCCAATGGAGTAGGAATATTCATCTCAACTCTAAACGAAACATCAGAAAAAGTTCAATTTACAGTTTTTCTACAACCATACAAACCTCACCAATAGAATAGTATCAAATATCACAGTTTCACACCATGGAGTTGTGCAAAATGGCAACAGCAAAGTGTTAAGGAATGCTTTCATGTTGTGTTGCATACCTGGTTTGATTGTCTCAGTTGTATAAGGCATCTTGTAATGTCTTAAAACTGCTTTGGTTTAGATCCTGTACTCCCATTCAGTTTGTTGCTTTTTGCCTCTCAATTTGATTACAGGATTGATCTGGCAATATGCACAAACAGCTCCGCTACTGTGAGCCATTGATTAGCATTTACAGTGGGCGGAATACCGTCGGTGTGTTGATTGAGTAACAAAAGGTGGGCTACACCAAAACGCAAAAGGTAGATATTAATCTTTCATGCAGATGACTGACCTGCTAGAAATCAAATTTTCTACCAAGTTATACCATAAAATGCAAAGAAAATACACCTCATTGCAGAGAAAGTTTTCAGTAACGTTTCTTTTCTAACTTTATTAACTTATTACAGTAATATTTTACACTTACTCCCAGACAAAGCAGTCTCTATGCTGTTGTATTGTTCCACTAATCAACAGCACAGTTATTCTGACATGGTTCTCTACGTTTGCCTGTATCACAAGAAAGGGCTGTCCTCTTAATTAAAAATAATCTTAATGCAGTCTGCTGAAGATTAGGACTGTGATTGCAGAATGGAAAAAATAACTTTCAGAGCAAATGAAGAAAAATCCATTTTGGACTATAAATCATTTTTGGTGACTCACAGTTAATGCAGCCTACACTTATCACAGCATAATTATTAGGTTTCTTTTATGACAAGAATAATTTCTGGTAGGATTTCAGCAAGTCACTCATTCTGCACACATTGCACTGATTTTATGCAAAGGCACAGTACAAACTGCCTTTCTGACATTTGCCCTGCAGCGCTCTCGAAAATCAAAGATGTCAGGCTGCCACAGTATTTCAGCATATGAATATAGATGCCCTTATATTTTACTCTTACATGAGCATAAATTCAAGGAAATATTAAATCCTATAATTACAGCATTTTTTGTGTGTTAATTTAGTATACATTGTGACTTGTAAGCAGCTGGAGGTCTCTTTTATAATGATGGTGTGCAGGTATTTCTTTTTAAAATGTTTAGATTTTCATGCTAGCATGTCCATTAAAATATACATCTGTCAACTCTGTGTCAGTGAAATGTATAAAATTGTAAAATGCAAATGTATTACAGCACAATACATCAGATACTGTAGTCTAATTGTGTTTTAGAAATCTGGAAAATATCTTTTTAGAACCATGTGTTTGTTATCAGGATGATAATGTTCCATGGAGATCCATGAAATATATTTTCATACAAACATAAATTAATAGAAGCAAAGCTGGATTTGATGATAAAGTCACAGTTTTCACATCTAAAAAAAATAGATGAATTCAAATACAATTTCTAATTTATCAACAGTGATGTGTGGATAGTATCTGAAAACGGACCATAACAATGGTACTACAGCAAAGAAATGTCATACTCTTATTATTTAGAAACATTTTTAATTTAATTCTAATCAGAAAGATGAATGGCTTATCATAAATCATAACTACTACAGCAATAACCTTTGCATTATTACATTTCACAAATCTTTACACTAGCTGAACAATGAAGATATGTGTGTTCTGAAACATTAGCAAATATACCCCTTGCTCCTACATGTTCATATTCAATATTCACACAGAGCATAAAAGATGATAAAGTAAAATAAAAAGTCAACGCATTTCAGAATTGTGGAACACAATTGAATGGAAAAAAAATCTCAACTATCTTAACACAGCCAACATAACACCTTCACAGAGGCTACATCTCCTTATTCAAATAACATCCACAATACTTTATAATAATTATTCCAAAAGAACAAGTAGAAAAGTATCCCATGTAAACCCATTCCTATTCCAAACTCTAACCCTTTAACACACTATGACTGTGACAGGTATGTATTATTTTTAACACTTATTATGGAACAATGGTCCTAAATGATCATGAATGTTGTTCATAGTATCATAGGTAGCCTCTATGAAGACACATCCTGTTTCTCTTGCCTGTGTTTACATCAGGAGATTAATCAGCAATTCAGATCTGAATACAGTAACGTAAACAGGGCTGTTGCATGACTTGAAGGTGGAAAACATTTGAAAAGTAGGAGCTCAAAACTTTTTCGTTGCATAGAAAGTGGTCAGGTCTTCACAACAGCAATTTGAGAGCTTTCAAGTCATTGTTATTCAGTCAGAACAAGCAATTGCAAATGTGCATTTGGAAATCTGGTCCAGTCACGATGAGATGCATGTGTGAAAACAGAAACAGAAAAGAAAACAGACAGTCTGGAAAGAAAGCAATGTCGACACCTCAGCCCTCTTCCCATTCCCTGCCATCACCAGACTCCCTTACCATCACTCCAAAAGGTTAGTTAGAATAAAAAACAGCACTGGACGTATGGTATTGTTAGATCTATCAGCTAGGTTGCCTATAGCAGCACAATCAAGTCCCCTAAGGTAAGAATCCAACGCCCACTCAACTGTTGAATTAAAAAGACTCTCTTGTGGGAATAGCAGAAAACATGCAAGTCTTTTTATTGAAATGATTTTCAGGATTATTTTCTGGGTTATTAGAAAGCCATCTGGAACATCCTGTTGCAGTGTTTTTTTCCCTTTCAGTACTGTCTGTCCACTCAGCTTTACAGTCCCTGGCAATTACAAGCTCTCAGTCAGTCATAGTTTCTAGTCTGCAACACCCACTGTATGGGCTCAGGCTTTTATGAGGAATGAATTGTCTTTGAACTGAATACATTCCAAAACAACCCCTTAAAGAAAGAATTTTAGGGCTTTCTGATATGCGGTAGACAAAAAGGTTCGGAAAAAACGAACGCAAGATTCAGGCATCATATCCTTGCATCCACAGCAGAGTGGCAGACCATTGAACCACCAAAGGAAAGCCAGCTGGCCAATGAGAGCCCAGGGTTCTCAGAAAGAGAAGCAGGCCACTATTATGGATGCCAGACAGCATGGTAGACTGATGACCAAAAGAGCAGTTATACATCTGTTCATATGAGGTGGGACTATAGGCTCAAAGTGGAAAGTCACACAACCTTTTATGCCTTTGTGATACATCTGACAGCTAAAACAGTTACATTCACAAAATAGGGAAGAATTTAAAAAATGCATAGTGCTCCTTAGCAGTTCCGCCTCTCAGCCAGCCTCCCTGCTAACCCCAGTATTCTGCACCTCACCTTGTCTCATTTTTCCCATGCTACTCCAGCACTTCCATTAGATGCCTATTGAGGCACACAACCAGCTCAGGCTCTTGCCTACTGTTGTTTCCAGCACTTTGCCCCTGCCCACTTTCAACCTCTTCTCATCACCCACCCCCTCTCACCTCTCCTGCCAGGTTATGTGTGCTCCCTCTCTGTTCTCCCACTTCCAGGGTCCCTTCTTTTTCCACCCTCACTCCTTGGAGGCAGAATGAACTTACCACAGTAATCACGCCCATTCACCTTCCAGCATCTCTGAGAGACGCGCCTGTGACCTCCCTGCTCTTCACCACCTCCTTCAAACCTCTTACACTCTGAAACACTGATATCTGAATTCTCAATGTGATAGCCGGCTGAAGCAGGTGTCTCCACCCAGCTGTTCTTGCCTATTTTCAGCCTCTCATCTCCTCCTATATACCTCCTCTCACTCTCTTCTTCCTATCTCTTCCACCAAATTATCTTTCCCCCTCCTCTCCGTTGTTCATTTCCAGAGCCTGATCATTCTCCATCCTCTCTCTGCGGAGGAGGAATAAATGACCTGCTGCAGCCGGGACTGCTCAGACCCTGAGCAGAATCACAGGTCATGCAGCACCTGTGACCTCTCAGCTCTTCACCACCTCCTTCAGGAACCTGTGTACTCTGTTGCACTGATGTTTTTCATTCCCATACTGGCAGGGTCAATAGGTACACCTATTAACTTTAAACATGGAATACTGTACATACCAAAAGAGTAATACCGTTACTGCTCTGCATCCACACTGTCTGGACACTGTTTCAGTTCAAATTATTTGCTTTTGCTTGTGCGGCAGTTGATTTTCTCTTTCTGCTTCGTCTACCCCAATTATCCTCTAATTCATTTATTTCACCCTATTATGCCTGCACAATCTTATTTGTTAATCTCCCTTGGTAACATCATCTGCTAAGTGCCCAATTAACAATAAGAATAATAACAAATATAGAAGTAAGTACAAATAATGTACTTTTATACATTTGACTCCTGCTAAATATCTAAATAATAATAAAATATAGACTATACAAGCAGACATTTTTTTTTAATCTTGTGGTAATCTTGTGGTTTTTTTAATCTTTTTTTAAAGACTTGTGGTACTTCAAATGTTTTTTTTCCTAAGAATGTATCAGAAATACATCTGGGCACTTACTGAATAATTGCTTTAAAAGGCACTTCTCTGAATACTTTTTATTCCAAATTGCATCTCAGAAATGCCAACATGTTTTGAAAAAGGCAATGCATATGTAATTTATTTTAAGAAGATCCACATATCATTCTAACTGGCTCATATCCTAAGCCCAGACAAATGACTTTCCCAGGTAAACAATACTTTGGTAGCGAACAAATCCATCACTTCCCGGTTCAATTATGTTATTTTTTGCCGTATGTAAATAAGTTCTGTGACTCTGCATCAGATATCATGATACATTTTTTCTCTTTTGTAAAAAATGTTTAAAGAAGGCAGTGAAACAGAGAATATAAAAGTGAATTTTTAAGGATCATCTATACATTCCCTTAATAAAGCAGAAATAATGGATTTTCCTGACAGGCACTGTAGTCTTCAGGTGCATCCTGCTGGTGATGTGACACAGTGGCACATGAATCCATAAAGTTTCCTAATTAAAGAAGGTGGCACTCTCTCAGAACAGGTTAACACCGTACAGTGGCCTTTTCTTTCTTTGTGGTTTCTATCAGAATTCTGCAATTGTTTATTACAATCAGCTGTGCAGCCATCTGAAAAGATCTCAGGACCTGTGGAGTTGAAATAATCAAGTTTTGCCAGCTTTCTAATATATTTAGATTAGTGGGAAAAAAGCTTTCTTGATAAAACTGTGATATAGAGAAGGAGCTAGAGCTTTCCTCTTGCCAAGAAATGTACCACAATAGCATACCAGGTACTACAGGTTTTGCATTAGTTGAATAGACCTATTATCCAGCTTGAATGCACTGTTGTAACATTATTCTAATACTGATCTGCCTTTTGCAATGTTCTGTGAGAACCCATGGATTTTCTAGTCTCAATATTTATTTATTCACTATTCTTGCTCACAAACCAGAGAGCCGGAAACCATTGGTCTAAATTTCAGTTGTGTAAAGATTGGATGTGGAGACCACTTAATTACTGAGCCTCGTCTCCACCAGTCGATTTGTTCCAGTGGTACTCTGGAATCTGTTCAATGTGGTTCAGTCAGATTCTTACCCTTGTTATACAGCATGGTAAAAAAGTCATATTAAAAGTAAAAGAATGGTCAAGTAGAATTTCTGTGTGTGTTATTTGTAAAATTTGCATAGTTTTATGTACTATTAGGACTTGATGAAGACTAAGTGATTGTCAATAATGTCTAAGTATGTTAAACCATTTAAATGTTAAGGGGGTGTACTTAATTTTTCACTACACTGTAACTGCTGCTGTTCTGTGACAGGGAAAATAAGACACCAGCAAAACAGGTTCTAAGAATGGAGCTCATGAAGCCTGTAACATGAACAGATCACCTTTGAAATGATACCTCCTTACAGGCAAAATAACAATCCAAGTACTGTTTTCCAAACTCTGCAAGCCTGAGCATATTGTATTTTGTTTTTAATTTTAGGCTTGTTCATAAAATGCATACAGGTCATCGAACTTTGATACATGTGACACATTTTAATCCATGAATTAAATCCTGGTATTTTTTCAGTACTTTTCTCCCTAAACTAGATTACACACAGAAGAGGAACCACTCCATCCCCCACTGAAGTGTAGCTCTACCTGGGGGATGTGTGGCAGTCATTATGTTCCAGCAGTCACACTACATGGATGAGGTAGGGAAGTGTGAAATTGCTTCTCCGATTGCATTAAGTGGGAACATTAGGTAGACCAGACTGTGCAAGTCCAAAGTGGAGCTGAGCTAGGACACTAGGGTTAACACCCCTACTCTTTCAACAAGTGCCATGGGGCACTTAATGACCAATTTCCCAAGAATTTGCTTTAATGTCTCCTTCCAAAGGATGGCACAACACAGAGTCTCCAGTCTCCATACCAATGCAGACAAGCAACCACCTTTTATTTTGCTGTTTTTAGAAAAAAAGCGACCCTACCTTGAGTCTTTCTGAAACGCCATCATTAAAGCTGATGGTGAACTCCTCAATCTTTGGCACCTTCAGCTTCCCCTTGCTTTTTTGATCCGACTGGTATTCAGTTCTTGTCTTAACCACAACCTGCAAGGCAAACAAACAAGGTGCATGCCGAATCAAGACTGCATGAGCAAACAGCTGCTGTTGAACTTCCCTTCATTCACACTGTTCAGGAGGAATGAGTGCCTGAGGCAATGAGAATTAAAAGTAGAACCAATTGGCACATTATGAGGACAGTCCTAAGCGTGCATTAAACATATATATATATACAGTATGTTCTCCATATTGTAATTGCATTGTTCTAATTACATTTTTTTTCATTTGTATTCTTTTAACTGATAAAGACACAAAGGGGAATACAACTTACAAGGACCACTTTTAAGGGTTATGGTGAGAATTTATATCATGCTATGAATAATGTATATGAATAATGCTATGCTATGAATAATGTATATTAACTAATTCTCAGAATTTAAAGGGAGCACATAACAGTCCAAATGACTTCTAATTCATTTTTGTGCATACAGACGACTAACCCTGCCTTCTCCTTACACCATAAGCCTGAAAGGCATCCCTAATAAGATACATACTAACGGTGAAATCTCTCTTCAGTGCTGGTTCCTTTGAATTTATGTATGCAAAAGGCAAGATGAGAAGTCTCTCTAAATGGTTCCACCCCCTTAGCATTGTAAGTGGCAAGACCTAATTAACATTTCTATCCATACTTCAGAATAGCATAGACATTTTAAATACATGACATTAAGCCACAATTTTAGTTCAATTTATCTGTAAACCTAGAATTACAAAGGTACTATATTTAAGTATTCAAAAAACATATTTAATTAGCGTTTTATATTTTTCATTGCCTTATTGGTGTATTATATTTCATTCGAAATTATACAGTTTAAGAGCACATTTGCAGGAGTCTCTGTGTAGAGGTGTTTCAGAGCCATGTCTTAATTGCCTTTGGTTAAGAATAAATGTCAGTATAATGCCCTGTATGGTGTTTAGTAATGATTTTCAGTCATCAGTGTAGCAAAATGCAGTTCATCTCATTACACAAGTTTGATGTTTTACTCAGAGTCAGAGATGCATATACAGTAATTATCAATCAAAAGAATATTTATTCCATGTCTAATTTTAAAGCAAGCTCCGGATTTTTCATTTACCAGGAAACATGGAATCAATTCAATAGTCAATAAATAACTTCCCTAAACCCATCTGATGAATTCCACCCTCTTGACCTAATCCTAAAAATCACTACACTTAATCTGCAGCGAATCATCCCACACTCACAGCAAATTACATACAGTAGGTGGTCATTTCATTTCATTTTACTGTTCTGTGTCTCAGAAAATTGCAAAGTGCTTTTATTATTAATGTCATTACAAATTTTAGCCATCATAAAAGGGTCTGGGTGATGTGGATCATTTTATTAATCAATTTTGCTAAATTACATATGGCACATAACACAGACAGCTACAAGCCCAATAAATTTGGAAGGCTTTTCATGCAGATGTCTCTCTTAGTATAGTGATTGCAGCCTGATGGGTCATGTGCTTAAATGGATCATCTCTCTGAAAGACTGCTGTAAGGGGCAGTATTTTCAGGTGTATTGTTCATTATCTACTACCCTAGAAGTACCAGCACCCTAAGGCAGGCAACTGTTCTTTTCCTGGAAAATCAATTTTCCACCAAAATTATCCATCCATGTATTCATCTGATCTAAAATTTACAGGAGGTAACATTGTAAACTCTGCTCCACTGTAACAAAATGAACGCATGCTTGATCCAAATTAAACGTGTTCATGTTTGGGTGTATGTGTAATAGATGGTCCAAGCCTTCAAGGACATTTATTTAAGACTCACAGAACTATAAAAGATCTCCATTTGTGCCACAGTTTGCAGATAACCAATGATTTAAACACAAAGTGACCTTAATCCTCCACCTAAAACACAAATGTCTTTTTATCCACTACAAATTAATGGCATTTATCAGAACATGTGAAATATACGTATCTTATACAGTACATATATATTCTATATACTGGGCTCCATTATATTAATCAGATTAAGGAGTCCTACTAAATGACCTTGAAGTATTCCAGGAACCTGGTTGGAAGATACTTTGTCCAAACACACTAGGAGTCCGGAGAATGAGTCTTAGACCTGTAATTTCAAGGAATAAGAAACTTTTTTGCCTCAAAAATGTAGGAAAGTGTGATTTTCAGTTCAAAAGTATAGCCTGCCTTTCACAAACATAGGCTTCATGATAGATGAGGCAGTTAAGAAACCTGCAAGCTGCCCACTGCAATACACAGTTTCTGCCAAAATTTCATAATTTTGCTGGATTGAAAGCAATGCTTCCAAGAACTGCAAGTTAATATTTCAGCAGAAATCCAAAGAATAACTGTGGTCATATCTAAAAATTAATTGAAAGATGTTGAAAAATGCAACAGTCTTCCTTTACAGTAGCTTATAAAAAATGACCTGGGTAGGTGGTAGCTGGGAGACAGCTGTGATATTTTTTTTCCAATTTTCTGTTGCCTCTTGACATCAGCTGTCCGATGAATGATCATTTATTCTATCACACTGGCAAACATTCAGCAGCAAGGTTGAACTTTGGTTATTCCTAATCTCATGTGGAAATCCACCTACAATCCAATGAGGAATGTTATTTATTTTAATTAGTACATTAAAGATTCATTATCTAATTTTATTTTTTGAGTTAAATTAAAACAACTATCATGTTGAGGTGAAGTGAGTGCTGCTGTATGACAGTGAGAGTCACATTCAAATTTACATTCAAAGAGCTTTATTGGCTTGACTGATGAATTACAGTGTTGCCAAAGCAAATACAATTAACAGCCGTTTACAAAAAAAAACATCTTATTGATCCTGCCAGGCAGTTCACTTTCTGGGTTCATGAACCTGAGTTTCCAGACTGGGAAACTTTCTGCGTGGAGCTTGCAAGGTTTCCCTCTCTCTCCCTAGGTTTCCCAGGTATGTGTGCCCTAATATACTGTAGACTGGTATCCTGTCCATAGTCTAGTTCCACCTTGCGCCCTGGTTTTCTAAAGTTTCCTATAAAACAGAAATTCAAGGCTGATGATGTTCCAACACATTCTTAAAATAACTATAATTTTTGTTGTGGACCACTCAACACCAGAACTTACCAGCCTACTGGAATATGGTGATTTTCCTTGATGGGATTTAGAGGACTCATACTAGTCCCCTAGTCAGTCGGATTTCAAAGCCAAAGGCTCCTCGGATGAAAATATAGCTCCTTAATGCTTTAGTATGACCTACAATCACATGCTCCATTCTTTTCACGACAAAAAGACACTGATTTTCTCTAGAGATTTCTTTGTTTGGGAATCCGGTTAGAATGCGCACCGTGTGAAAGCCGCACATTTTCCAGAACAAGCCACTTCCATTGAGGTAGCTAGACAATAGCTTTGCTCGCTGCCAAACGGAGACAGGTTTAAGACTTGACAGCAGGGATTATTTTGATAAGACTCTTCCAAATGCAAAGCTGGTGGCCATTTATCGTAACATAAAATAAACAGCTATACAAAAAATGCAATCCCAGTAACCTCTGTTTAATAAACACCACAGTACATCTGTAACAGCTTTTTGTAATCTGAACACAACAGACTAATAGCCTCTTGCTTATTGTGGTGTGTTACAAAAGAATCTTTGCTATAAGAGGCATTTTGTACATTACGAATAATGTTTCTCTATTATTTGTTTAAAGCCCTTCTATAGGTAAAATAAGACAAGAACAAAATGCACGGATGTTTAATTCTGATACCGTGGGGCGAGATTATAGTAAACCTCAAGATAAACACGTGCATTGGTTTCAATGACCTTCTTTTAAATAACATGAATACAGATGAGTGGCAGAATGGAATTAAGGTATGAATCGTCAACAAATGTAGCGGATTTCCCTTTTATAAGCACTGCATCACAAAAAAGTACCTCATATACAGTACAAGCTCACATCTCTAAACATGCACTGTGAAAGACATTTTGTCATTAACTATAGCTTCAATGTACTAGGTCAAAATAAACTCAGAATTAAAAATAATTTCATTTAACTATTTTCTAACTATACGAATCTTTGTCTTTTCGGTAGTCCACCTTCAACATGTCAAATTATTTTCACAACGCATTTGCAGGCGGACATTATGCTGCTGGAAAGATATTTACTGAGACCAAATGTTTTCTACTCATACATTTTCTGTTTTCTTTAGACAATTCCCATCTCTCCTGTCCCAGAAAGCCGGTTTTGGTCTATGAAGACCCCGTTAATCACTTTAAGTCCCCTGAGAAAAGCTTCAGCTCACATACAAGGGGTTAATTTAAACCCATTTAGATGGGGGGATATTTCTCATCTCAGAAAGACATCTAGTCACAGACATCCAAACCGTCCAGCGTGAAATTTGTAATTTCAGCGAGGCTTTAAAAGAAAAATGAATAAATGATAAGAGAGCTGGGTTTTATGCTATAAATAATAGAAGTGCCAGACGTTTCACTCGACGATGAGCAGAGGAGCAAGCCGAGAGTTTTACCTTGTCAGGAGCAGGATACTGCAGGTGATTAACATCCAGGGGTGTGATCAGCGGAACGTTTTGAAACCCGTCCTCAGCACTGGCCGGTTTGGTGCCTTTGTCATTAAAGTAACCCCCTAATTTAACCATCTTTAGCAAAACCCAAGCACTTCGCTCTTCACCCTTAAAGGAAAAAAAACAAAAAACAACACAGTAAAATCGGGTATCATTGTTGCAATAGTCTACAAATTGTTATTTTTTAAACAATTTTCAAACATTGTTCAGAAAAGGGACATACTAATTTAGCTTTTCTTGTTCGCATTTTAATACACCTAGTTCAGAAATCTTTTATTGACAGGATGGGCAACAATGAGTAACGAACGTACTTCATTTTATGAAGAATACATAATCATTTGCCGTTTATAGTCAAACTGTCCCATTTTCAATAAAAAAAGACAAAGACATTAAAGCGAAGATGAACACGAGCCGATAAGATAAACTTTAGATCAAGAAGAGCGTTTTAAAATATCTTGCAAATCACACTCATTAATTTTTTTGTAATTTGCATCGTATAATTTAATTTGTAATTCTCATTGTAGAATTAATATCATGCGATTGTCAAACAGGAGTAGTGCGCACATTATTTAACGCTTATTCATGTAATCGAACTACTCAGATACACTGCGAAACATTTTAGTGACCTGTTTACTAAAGTCCCTCAGAAAAGCAGTGGATTGCAAGCCAGGTCGCAACAGCATTGAAGAACATCGCTATTTCTATAGAACTACACCTGCTATACTCAGCCGGTGTCACACAGAGACACTAAACATTAAAAATGAAAATCCAAATTTACTTACAGGAACTGAACGTCTGTAGTGTTATTCCTTTCTGATATTCCTCTCACAATGTATATATTTCTTGTATATAGCAGACAGCAAATGATGGAACCGGCTGCAGCCCGGTATAGTGTAGATGATGGTAAAACAAGGAGTCCAGCAGGGACGAGAAAGACTGAGGCTGAGGCAGAGGGATGCTGAAAAGGACAATTCACGCACGCCGCGCCACCAAGCAAATATTTAATGCGATTTCAGTTTATAATTCACAACTATCACCACTAGGGGTGGTAAACACATGACGAAAATTCCTCGTTTCTATTTTCTGAATGCAACACTGCAATTGGAATGTTTTTCTCTCCATTCACTCTACAGTTTATATATAGATTGTCTTTTCCGCCACCTGCTGGTTAAGGGCCCGAATTGTATGCAGCATTCAAGAATATTCCCAACATGTTAAATCGTCAGACTTTCAGTCATATTCTACGTTTAAAAAAAACCTGATTAAAATTACTACCTTACTAATTAAATAAAAAAATACTAATAATTAAAAAGCACCTCATTTGAAAGTCTGGAAATGCCAAATGGGCTTCAATAAGTTTAATAACTGTTGCGTGCTGGCTTACAGTACCTTCACTGTCCTACTGCTTTTTATTTCTCCTCCAGCACCTTTGTAGTACAAGTGGTTACCTGTGGACATCATTTCCATTGTCCCTGATGGCTTTTCAATGCCTTATCAAAAGTCAGCTGTGCAGTAATTTTGGAGATTTATAACTTGGAAACATTATCCAGTTATTTATCTTTTTTTTTCCCTTGTAAAACTTTACACTGACATTTGAACTAAAAGTCAGCTTTGTCGACAATGCCTATGTCTTTCTTAAGTTCCTGTTCACCCTGATGCTCACAATTTGTCATGGTCACCAGCACTGTACTGCTGTGGATAGTAACTACTACAGAAGCATCTTTCATGCCTTTTTTTAACATGATTTCTAAAGCCCTAGTACTGACAATGCTTTCCTTTTTGCTTTTTCATACAATCCCTCTGCCTTACAACCCATTCTGTAACTCTACAGTATAGTCTTATTTTTAAAGCTAATAATAGTAACTATTGGATCACCTTACGTGTTGCACCTTGTGACTTTAAAGATGACTATGAAAGTGTCAACTTCTTTTACCAAAAAGCTAGATCAATCAACAACAACTTTTTTTCTGGATCTAGAAATATTAGCTACACACTTAGCATAAGTCTCCCTGTAGGCAAAAGGTGTGTAAATGACACTTGTATAATCTGCTGCAGATTGAACAGTGTGCCTGAAAGGGAAATTTATAATTACACACCATAGCTGACTGAAAACATACTGTATACATACCCTTTCAAATTTGCAAAAAAATAATAAAAATGATCAATTTTGTTTTGTTTTTGTGTCACTTAAAACTTCACTGTCTCTCGGCTTTTTGCCTTGGGATTCTTAACCAAGACTTTAGTGTGCTTCACAGCATAAGCATAATCATGGAAGATGTTAGATCTAGCACAGAAATGGAAATATCAGGTTGACACATCATGCTGACTGTTATATGTTTGTATATACTTTTGTATACACTGACTTGTATTTTACCACTACATACTGTAGCTGACAAAGACTGAGGCATACACAGTACTGTACATGAAATCACAGTGGCACCAGGAGTAACTCACACTGCAATAAAATGTTAGGATGTTCCAAGAGACCCGATCAATAGTTTTTTCCTAATACACTTGTTTTCCTGCAATATTTTAGAGTTGATATTGAGAACACTACATTTCATTGAGAAGTGCAAATAAATCAAATTAGGAGACTGCACTGCATATAGTTGTTTATGTTTTTATACTATTCATGACACTGCCACATCAGAGACAAAACCTTAGATTTCAAAACAGATAAAATATTGATAGAGCCTACATGTGTTCATTGAAGTGAAATTTGAGTTTGGAAGGCTTGGTTATGTGGTTATGTGGGTATTTTCGGTTTGTGTGAAGCAAAAGAAGAAAAAAGGTACATTTTAAACTAGAGTCCACATGTACAGGACAGTTGGTCTTTAATAATAATAAACTTTAGTTTATATAACACCTTTAAAAGTAGCTTCTCAAATCGCATTACAGTAAGAAATAGAGTTAAAAAAGATATGAGATAACAAAATAAGCACAATTAAAGACAAGGATTTAGAATGAAAGGAGCAGACACACCAATTAAAAAAACCCTTTCTGAAGAAGACACTCTAGGGTCTGGATTTGAAAGTGCTCAAGGAAAGAGAATCTCTGATATCATTGGGGATAGAATTCCAGAGCTCTGGGGCACAACAAGAGAGGAATGCAAATGAGTTGGCCCAAGAATGTGAACAAACCATAGACCAGCTGATAAACAAAGGCTGCAAGGAGGTAGGGAGGAGAAGATAAGTCAGACAGATATTGAGGTGGAAAGCCATGTAAAGCCTCATACAGTATACCTAACTACAGTGCATTGCCCCGAAAGGGAATGTTGTATAAAATGACCTACAAGCAAAAGCTGGAAAGAAACTGATTAATTTTTTCAAACTCTTGCAATAGACATTGTATGCACAGGCATATTAAGAAATAGGGCCAACATTTATTAGGTGTTTCTGACTCTAACGCCATTTGAGCCTGAACCCTGACTCATTCAGCACTCCATTCAACACAAAACTTCCAATGACAGAACATTAATCAAAAATTTATATTACCATTCTTTATAAATTCTTTTTGTTTTGATGAGGTTACTTAGTCTTTTCAGACCAATATTTTGATTAAGTGAAGTAAATTTTCCAATCAATTGAACGGAAGATTGTGGAAAGTCTTTGACAAAACAATGACCCCTAACCCAAGGAAACCCTTATCTAGGGAAAGAGTTAGGATTCCCCCAAAACCTAGACAACCTAGCATGGCTGTGTTCTAGGACAGAAATGAT